GGGGGGGTGGGGAAGAAACGGGGGCTGGGTAAGGTTCCAAAAAAATTTTCCGGACGTATATAAGCATACTCAAATTTTTTCCACCAATACATGCAAGACTACCAATTTTTTTCACCGCAAAGATAAGAAAAGCTTTAAAACTGTTACAATTGCGAACCATTTCATATCTTTGAGCAACTTCGACCTTCTTTTATCCCAAACTTTGACCAAATTCACTTTTAAGCAAATATCAGTTCCATTTTGACCAACTTTGGGCAAATATCAGTTCCATTTTGACTAGCTTTGACCAACGGTTGAATTATTGTGGGGAGAGGGGGGTGTTACAACTCCCCCCTCCCTATAGCGACGTCCCTGCCTCGTATCTTTATATCTCTAAAACACTGCTGCTCATGTTTTAGAAATAGTACATAATGCTAAAATAAAGTAATTTTGTGCATGAAAAACACTGCAAAGTTTTATGGTTTTAAATCGCAAATATATGTGATATAGAAAAAGTTATCTTCCACTGTATATCAATAATGCTCTTAAAATACGCTTCATTGATTTCTCACTCTACTCAGATGAATATCCAACAATGGTAATTCGAATTTTTTTTCCAAATTTAGAAATGTGTTGGAAATATTGTTACAAACAATGATTCGTGTTTGGCCCATCCCACGTTTCTTACTTGAAGAGCGACGTCCGTGGAAACGAGGTCTCCCGCGCGCACCCTTCGTCCCCGCCAGCCCTCAGCGTGTCGAACCATGTCCTCAGTGCGAGAAACCTTGCCTCAGCTTGAAGAACATTCTCCTCAGCGTGAGGAACCTTGTTCTAAGCGTGAGGAACTTGTCCTCAGCGTGAGGAATTTGTCTTCAGCGTGAGGAACCTTCTCTTCAGCGTGAGGAACCTTGTCCTAAGCGTGAGGAACCTTGTCCTCAGCGTGAGGAACCTTGTCCTCAGCGTGAGAAACATTGTCCTCAGCGTGAGGAACCTTGTGCTCAGCGTGAAGAACCTTGTCCTCACCGTGAGAAACCTTGTCCTCATCGTGAGAAACCTTGTCCTCAGCGTGAGGAACCTTGTCCTCAGCGTGA